GATTTTTTTCTTGGTCCTGTGTGTCTTCTTACTTACACACAGTATTCCCCATGTGTTTTGGCCTAGATTTCCACAGCTGTGTTTCCTGATTTATTTTAGGAGGGTAGTTTACATAGTTCTTTTCTGTATATATCAGAAAGAGAGGTGAGTTTTACTGGGCTGAATCTTCCTTGGGCTATGTTTCTGGCCAAGTTTCCATGTTGAGGTGCCTCTCTTCATTGACACTTAGAAGGTTTTTATGCAGTTGCATTGTTTTGGCTAACCCAAGTAGGTGTAATCTGTTGCCTTGGCAAGTACCCAGGCATCTCAGCTTCAGTGTCCCCATCAAATTTTACCTTGGGTAATTTCATTGTAACAAGTTTTATTTTTGCCTGTAGTTCCAGGAGTCTGAGCTTCCTTAAGCCTGAGTGCTCAATCACATATTAATACTGTATGTCACTGAATGTCTCTGTTCAGTGGCAGCTGAGATTATCACTGTGTGACATCATCTATAAGATTCAAAACTTACAAAGCAATTTAAAAGTGATTTAGGATGAAGGTGTGATAGATTTTGGGGGTTTTTTTTATGCCATTTTTGCTGGCGTTGGTGAAAAATAAGTTGTATATGTTCAATTCTGGCAATGTTTAGGTGGTGGCTTTGAAGGAGTGGCTTAGGTAAAATGTTATGTAGTGTTTGAAACTAATGCTCTGCAGAATCATAAGTGCTTTGCAGCTGGTTTGGTGGGGAAAAAAAAATCCTTGGAACTGGAAAGCTTTAGTACATCTTCAGGGACTCTAAATCAAGGGTTTTTTAACCTTTGTCCTTTTTGGATTTGTATCATAAATGTGTACTTGGATACATGCACACAGACATGCACACCACAAACTGCCATACATATTTTTACTGCTAGTTGTACCTGCTGTTGTAGATAAAATGTTAGGTCTTGAAAGTGTTACCAGTTTTAGGAATTTAGGTGATGTGTTGTTTTTAGTACAAATAAATTTTTACTTCTGAGGAACAGGTTTATATCAGCAGTAAAATTTACTCGGGATCTCATCTTAAATTTTATGTATTCTTTACCACTGATTTTTTAATTTCTCTTGTGAACTGTGACCACACAGAATTCCTGCATGGCAGGTCCGTTCTTAGTTATTTTCAAACTTTTCCTCTTGTCTTAGTCCTAATTTTTGAAACAGAACTTAATTTTTGTTGGTGTGTTTTTTGTTGTTTTTTTTTTTAGCTCTCTTGTGCTGCACATTACTACATTTGGGCAACAGTATGTTTCATAGAGATTTCCAGAACATTTGTAATCATCTCTTCTTCTCCCTTCCCCCCTTCCCTTCCTCTCTCAGTTGTCATAGTTCCCTGCTTTTCTTATCTTTCTTTTTACTGCCGCAGCTTTCAGATGATAATTCATGGCTGGAGGAACAGCTGCTGTGTAAGAGCTGAATGAGACTCGGCACCACTTGCAGCTGACCTAATGTGAGAATAAATGAAGAAATTGTGCTTTGCATGTAGGTTTACCTATAGGATCCTTTTCCCAGTTTGGACATGGGGAAGTGGACTGTGGATGGCTTCTCTGGCTTCCCATTGCCAGCTGCTCTAGGGGTAGAAATACACCGGGGGTGGTGGCGCAAACGAAGCGAGGTATTGGAGGTTCTTAATGGTTTTCAAGAAAGTCACCCGTTTCTAACTGTGAGTTGCTTTTTCCTTTTTTTAAATTTTTTTCCCTGCCACTATTCACGCTCTGGTGGCCAAAAGCTCTGCAGCCTGTGCGCTGGGAACAGGTGGAGCGACACATTGTCCGTGGTCGTGCCGCGCTTTGCCAAACCACCCAGCTCATTTCCTTTCATTTCCTCCGGGTGAGCGAGCCAACGGCCCTCGTCATCTTCTGCGCCAGGGACCCCAGGCCACCAAGCTGAGCTTGGGAAGTGTCCTTCCTGCCAGTTCAGTACACACAGCCTAGGGGTTACAGCTTATTTTGGGGCCGGCTGGCGAGGTTCGCAGCGGGCAGCCCTATCTGTGCTGCACAGATGTCTCGGGCTGCTCCTAAGTCAGCGCCTCGACTGCTGCAGTTTATGGTGCAGTGCTGTAAAGAAAGCTGTCGCCTGTCAGATGTTTAAACTGCTAATATCCACTGGGAATACTGTACCTGTGTATATTCAAGGCATTAGACTGGCCAGGAAATATTTATTAAGAAAAACCTTTCTATTTTAGTCTTTACCGCCATAGGAACTTTTGTCGCTATGACTGTTAGATACAGCTTTACTGATGCTCTGCTGATTTAAGGATACAAGCAAATTCAGATTGGTAGAAGACACATTTGAAGTCCAAGTGTGTGTCTGGAAGCTTGACTGAACTGCCTCTGATTTTTGTATTTTTTAATTTTTTTTTCTGCCTGCAGTTGTAGACCTTGCTGTATCAGGAGAAATACCCTAATTTAAAAATATTTCTTCTGTAATTGACTTCTGACATAATGGGCTAGAAAAGAGGAATAAAATAGTATAAAGGATATCTGAGGTCTTGCAACTGACTGATTTGAAGAAAAGAATGCTGCTGCAGCCTTACTGTGTGCCTTAGTCTGTTCTCCCCAGGTATATTCTCAACCTTATTTTCCAATCTCATTTTCCTTTCACTAATTCCTCAGTTTATGTTTTTACAGTTTCAATAGGTACTGGTTGTTGCAGGGATGGAAGGGAGGAAGATAGCTCTGTTAGTTTTACTTCCTTATTGCTATTAGATCATAAACACCTTTTGAACAGGAGTCTTCATCCACTGAGGGTTGGTGGTTTAGATGACTTAAAATTACCTGAATGTATTACTGTGGCAGTTTTGAATGTGATGGAGTTTAAGCATATATATGCAAAGGTCAGTCTTGTTTTAAAATGAGAGGATGGATTTGGTAGTTGAACAACCGGTATGTGGATGAAAGGGATCTCTAAGGCATTTCATTTGGTGTTTAAGAAATGTCAGTGATGGAAAAATCAATAGGGTTCATATGAAATGAATGTTAAAATGGACTAATTAATAGGTTTTAATGCAATTGCAAATGTCGAATGGCCATCCAGTGTATATCTTGCTATAGGGGATTTGCTGCCATTGGTACTCAGCTGTGTTATTAACATTTCATTAACGACCTGGAAGAGGTCATAAAATTGTTGTCAATAGAGTTTGCAGCCATCTGAAATCCTAGGGGCAAAAAAAGCAAGCGTAATTATGGAAGCCAGGCTTGTGTCTTGGGAACTGGTGGGGGATGTGGAAAGGGAAGCTGGAATCTGGGTAGGTCAGGGTAAGCAATTGCCAGGCTTTGGCCATCACTATCCTGTGACCGAAAGGGCCAGGGTGCTCTTTAGTGTGTGTGTAGTGTTACAGGTCACGTAAGAACCCTCGCTGTTGGGCAGTTAGGTCTGGTCTGCTTCTACAATACAGGATCTGCCTGGGGTATTGATGTGTCAGATGTTGAAATCCAGGACAGGACAGAAGAATGTGAGAAAGATGTAGAAGAACAGGAAAACAGGCAGATAAGAGGCATAGGAGGATGAGCCCGCTAAGCGTGAAGTTCATTGATTCCCACCTAACTATTTAGAAATCACAAGGCATTTCCAATGTAAGGCTCTCCATATAGTCCTGGTCTGTCTTTGAACAGCTGTGCTTTATGTTAATGCTTATGTAAGACATATCGGCATGTGGTCAATAGCATGGAATTTAAAAACAAAGGTATTATTTAAATAGTTTGTTCAAAAGATTTGGCTTGGCTGGATCCTCATCTGATGTGATTTATGACAGTTTTATACTTGTGACTAACGCTTTATATGACCATCTTGGTGGAACATAAGGATTGGTTGAACAAGAGAGTAAACTTCATCACAGGTGGAGCCTCTGCAGAGTTAAAAAATGTTGCTTGCCTGGAAAGCAAGGGCGTATTAAAAATATTTTTCCATAAAGCCTTGTTTAACATCCATATATGCCTTTCACGGAGTATTTAAGACAAATCTCAGTATTTCCAAGGTAGTATCTTTCCAAGTGTTTGCATTTTTAGGTTTTAAGAGCTGTTGTAAGCATGTGTAAATTTGAATTAACGTTGTGCTTGATGGTTTATGCTAGTATAGGAGATAATTCAGCACGCAGACCTTACTACGTGTAATAGTTGGCAATACAAAATTAACTTTCCTTGATACCTGGATCTCAAAATTCATTGAGATTCTTGATTCTTGCTGTGGCAGAATTGGGGTGTTGTACGTGGGTGGTGTTGGTCATGGACACTGAATAGGGAAGTTACAGAATGGCTCTTGGTAACATCAAGATAGAGTGTTGTAAAGAGTCAGTTCTCACAGCTGATCTGTCCCTAAATACCAGAATGAAGATTGTAGTCCCCATGCAAGTTGGACTTAGCTTGAAACTATTTTCTTTGGTGATACCATGGAAGCTCCTCTGAAGAGGGTCTTGATGCTCTTACTCATATCAGAGAGAGTTTTCAAATATATTGTGAAATGAGCAAGTCTCTGCTAAGATAGAAGGGTGTGAGTGGTGGGTTTTTTGGTGAGTGGGTTTGTCAGAGGTTTTTCACTTTGTTTCTTTTTTTGAAACAAGGTTTTTATGGTTAAGTCCCTGAGCTCATAATGAGTTAGGTTCAAAACTTCAGAGCACCTAAGCTTGTTATCCCTTATTCTTAAATGTTTATGTTAGGAGAAGATCTGTCTGGAGGGTTGTCATGTCCACCTCCCCCTCTATCAAATGCTACTACATCCAGGAACATCCTGGCCGTGAGCATGCTGAGAGTGGCTTCCTGTCAGAATTGCCTTATGTAGAATCACAAGGAAGCAAGTGTTTCTTGTATCCTCCCATTGTTTTGCTTCCTGTGAAGTAGGAGAATGGATGTGTGTCCTGGATACAGGCTTTTTTATGGCGCTATACGTGTCGGGATGATCCAATCAAATCATTCCTGGTATCCCCTATAGCCTGAGCATGGCAGGAAACGAGGCTTCCTCGCATCCTGTTGTTCTCCAGTTAGCCTGACTTTGGAGATCTCGTGGCTCTAGCAGAATCCAGAATGAAGGTGAGCTTAAAGTGGATTTAGGATTTTTTTTTAATTTTTTTTGTAAGTTTAAGCTATAGTTTCTCACCTTATCCTAAAACATTCCTTTTTTAAATAGTTCTCTCCCCTGTAGTACCTTTTTGATGCAGTTCTTGTGTTTGCACAAGCACCCATGTCTCTTCTATTTTCTTTTATAAGGATCCAAGCTGTTATTTTGTGATTGCCTTCATAACTTTTCGTTTGCTTGTTTAAAAGCTACCACAATAAGTGTATAGTGAACAATGCAAATTTTACATTCCTGATGCTTTCCTGTTCCATAACAGCTTGCTTAATATTTTTTTTTTCCCCAATTTGAGCAGTGGTTAAGCTATCTCTTGTCTGCTTTTGCTTTTACGCATTCTGCTGTCAGCTTATTGGTAGCTTTTTCTCACCTTTGTTATAAATTATGCTATTAATAAAACTTAACATATCTTTAGTCTCTTTGTGTAAAATCGGATAACTTTATATTTGCTTAGTGTCTTTTATTGTGCACGTAGTTTTTAAATACTTCCTCATGTTTTAGGAAAAACCCTACAAAGTTCACATCTATGCAGTTCCTTACAGCTTCAATTAAGTAAGAGTAGTAGTTAAATTTTCTGTAGCTCAGGGAAACTTGGTGAAATAGTTATTTGACTTACTTTATGTGAGCAATAGCTGCTTGGAGTATATTAGTGTTGGCCTCTGCTTGATTTTTGTGTCTGTTTTGTGTCACTGCCTTTCTGAGCTGTGTGTGTGCTACCTGAGCTTGGGAGATGTCAGCACCTCGACAGCAGAGGTAAAAACTGCTGCTTGCTGGGACCAGAGGTGATCCTTAGGCTGAGGGGGGGAAAAAATGTGCGTGTTAACATATGCAAGTACCTCAAATACTGTCAATGCTTGGGGAGATTATTTTTTTTCTTTCTTATTGAATAATACTGTGATTAAATGTTTCCAAAATCAGCTCTGCCTTGGTTAGTAGATGACGTAACCAGTCAAAACTGGTGTGGCAGTCCCTTTTGTGGTTACTTTAGGTAGCTTTCATGAAAATTTTCATTTCTCTTAGGTTTAACCAGTGTTCCTCTTTCTCCTCCCAGCATTCCTTTGTCCCTTCCTCTCCGCCTCTGGGAATATGAGTTTTTCCTCTCTTGCCTCTGAAGGCTGCTTTCTGGGGTACAGGCTTTCTGATACTGCCCGTGGGGTGGGTCTATTATCAGGAAAATAAACAGGTTTTTTGTTGACTTTTTAGATAAAAGCTGCTACGCTGCAGGAAACGGAATCTCTTTCTGTTTCTTAAATCAGTTGGAACAACTGTAATAGTTGTCTTTTACTGTCCTCTTTCTAGTCTTGCACAAGGGAATACTGTGTCTCCTTTCAACCTATGCAGAGTGTGTTGTGAGAGCTATTTTCATGAGACTTCGGATGAGTGTTTCCATTACCTCAGGCAAATATTATGGGTTGGTTGTTTTTTTTAATCTCCCCTTTCCCCCCTGAAAATCCAGATGTTTAATGCCATCACCCAGTGCTTGAAAGTTACTGGAGTGTTTTCCACAAGATAGTTTGAGGTTTGGATCTCTTTCCCACAGTTAAAACTAAAATAACCTCCAGCTTTCAGCCTTCCCCTTCCCAACCGTCCAGCAACTTCACTCTTCATAAAATTTATTAATTATCAGGAATTCTGCTTTCCTGTGTGTCTTGTAGAATAAAGAGCTAGCATATATATGTTATTGTAGTACTTTTTAAAGTATTTACAGTAATTTTGAAAATATTTAATAAACAGTCAGGTACAGTGCCTGTGAGCTGCTACAGAAAAAGAAGATCATGCCAAGAGTAATGGCACCTCGTAACTGTTTTGGCCAAACTGTCTGAGGAAAGCTTCTCTCTTCTGATAATTATGCTGTATTCAACTTTGCCATAATTTTAACTGACTCCTGCTATCTTTAGCTTATGTATTCTTCATTTTTTTTCTCAAATGCAGCTGTTCCTATATTCTTTTTGTATTTAAAAATGAGCGAGTTTGGTGGGTTTTTTTTAAAGGGAAAAAAACCTCACTGTTTTTTATTGGTGCATGACAGCCACTGAAAGATTAGCACCGTGATCAGGCAATAGCTTCTACAGTCATGATGTGCACAATGCCATAGAAGTGCTTTGTTTAAAGGCTTGTTTCTGCAACTTCTTTTATTTTCTTTTGTTTTCAGACTTTTGATGCAAATGACCTGTATCAGGGAAAGGATTTCAGCAAAGTTCTCAGCTCTCTCGTGGCTTTAAATAAGGTGACTGCAGGTAAGTAGACTCTGCTCTGTCCTGGTGCTTGCTTACCTTACCTTCAATTCGCATTAATGTGTATTTACCAGTCAGGATGAAATTAACATGCCCGGTGTTTTAGAAGAGTTTCTTTGTTGCAGTTTATTGTTACGATTTCTCTCTTTCCAGAAGGACACTTTGCAGTGGAGCTAAGACTGAGCCTTTTAGCTGGCAAGAATTCTTAGAAAAAGTCCCCACCTTCTTTTTTTTTTTTCTTTTTTCAGTTTGAAACACTAAACATTTGCTTATGCCCCACTGTGTAATTCCTGTGTTTAAACATTCCTGTCAATGTTTTTGTTGTTGTCCTGTCCCCCCACTCCCAAGCACTGTCCTTTCTTGACAGTAACAAAAGGATAGCAGCATCTGTGACCCCTTAATCTATGCATGTTTCATTTAGGTAGCAGCTATAAGTCACAAACCATCTACCTAGAGTTCTTTTGGGAAGAAGAGAGCTGTAGAAATAGCACACAGGTGAGAGGTGTCCATGCTTTGTAGGGTGAGGCTGTACTAAACGATGTCAACAGGACCCTGGGAGAGAGGTATTATTTAAAAATGGGCCATACTTGCCAATTTTTATGTGGGGAGGAAAAGGAAGCTGATAGAAAAGTCAGTGGTGGATCAGTGTGACTTTATTTAATAGTAATATGATAAGTATGTTGTCATTCTTATAATATTCCTTTGGTCCATTACATCAGGGGTTTTTTTGTGAATTTTTTATTTCCTGCTTGTATCAGAAAACACGCTGTAGGAGTGAGTTTTACAACCAAATTCTTAGTTCTAATGAATGTGCATGGAATAATACCACTGATGACTTTGAAGATACTTAGACCAGTTGAAGATCCTGCCTTTCATCTTAACTGCAAGTGCGAGTCTAACCCATTTCAGTACATCTGTAAAGCTGCTGTATACTGACCGTAGCTGTCTTAAAAGGGGAGAAAAAGTGTGGCTGTTTGGTCCAGACATCAATAGATTAATATCCACATCAAAAAGCCACAATTGCAGCTGGCCTTAGAAAGAACACAGGCTGATCCCTTTCACGGCGGGGAGGCGGTGGTGGTATGGAAACCAAAAATCAAAACCACATGCAAACTGTGATGTTGCCTCATTCCTGGGAGCAAGCAGAGCTGCATAAATCTTAAGTATGTTGTCATTCTTATAATATTCCTTTGGTCCATTACATCAGGGGTTTTTTTGTGAATTTTTTATTTCCTGCTTGTATCAGAAAACATGCTTTAGGAGTGAGTTTTACAACCAGATTCTTAGTTCTAATGAATGGGCATGGAATAATACCATTGATGACTTTGAAGATACTTAGACCAGTTGAAGATCTTGCCTTTCATCTGAAATGCAAGTGCGAGTCTAACCCGTTTCAGTACATCTGTAAAGCTGCTGTATACTGACCGTAGCTGTCTTAAAAGGGGAGAAAAAGTGTGGCTGTTTGGTCCAGACATCAATAGATTAATATCCACATCAAAAAGCCACAATTGCAGCTGGCCTTAGAAAGGACACAGGCTGATCCCTTTCATGGTGGGGGGGCGGTGGTGGTATGGAAACCAAAAATCAAAACCACATGCAAACTGTGATGTTGCAGCTCTGCTTGCTCCTAGGAATGAGGCATAAATCGTCCTGACCAACTGTTCTTCCAAACAATTTCCTTTAATTCGGTGACTGTGTAGAAGGCATTTTAGATGCTATCTCTCTACCCTGACACTGGAAGATGGCTTTCAGAGCCATCTAGGTCTGCAAGTATTTCAGGTATACACATGTTCTTCTGAGATGGGTCTTTCTGCAGTGGAAGAAGACCCATGAATATGAAAGTTGACGAAAGGCTGCTATGGTTATACAGTTCATCTAATTATTTTAGTTCAGAAGAAGGGTTAGGATCCACGGTACCAGTTGCTGCTGGTAAGGGAACAGATAAGGTGGAAGGAACTGGTGTAGGGAAGCTGTCATAATGGTGAAGAAGAAAACATTTTGACAACCTTGGAAATCTTTGGATGGAGAACTGGTGTAGGGAAGCTGTCATAATGGTGGAGAAGAAGAAAACATTCTGCCAACCTTGGAAATCTTTGGATGGTTGGATAGAAGTGTGGAGCTTCTGTGAAATCTACCAAATTAATATTTGTGAAACATGCACACTCTGTTGCCAGTCAAAATTCTTGAGTTTTTAGCAGCAGAGTTTAATTATTTTCTGACAATAATCCTCTTGAGAAATTCATTGAACATGTTTATTTGGTATTTTAATGGAAGCTTTAATGGGTATATGGGGTCTGCAGGCCCTTTTAAATCTATCACAAGTTCATTTGGTATTTTAATGGAAGCTTTAATGGGTACATGGGGTCTGCAAGTCCTTTTAAATCTATCAAAAGTTCCAATTAATTTGAAAGTATTCAGATATTATTGGTAAAAATGCTTGCAATTTGCATGTGGTTTGTTTGTAATTTTCCTCAGACACATGCAGTTTCTAATTCAAGCCTCAAGACGTGCTTTTGTGTTTGGTCTATCAGCTCTGCTGTTGTGAACTGGAAAACTTGGGGAATCAGTAGTGTGTTTTAGGGTTGCCCAGAGGCTGGGAGACAATGCCATGAATGAACCTGATCCTGTTTACCCAGGTGAACTTCATCAAAGTACTGCTTGATTGGGTGGTGGTTGGTCTGTTCTTCTACTTTGCTGCAGACAGGAAACATAGCAGACTGGACATGGAGATGCTTCAGGTTACTTACAGCCCTTCAAATTCTGTTAGTTACTGAGGGTTACATCAACTCTAAAGTTTCTGGGAGCATTAGAATTAACCACAAAGTTATTTACAAACAAAGCCCATGATCTAGTCCTATTTCTCTCCCAGTAGTCTGTGAAAACAAAGATGTATGTTCTTTCTGTGATGGACTGTAAAGACCAGTGTTTATACAATGGCCTTCAAATGCTTTTAGGAAAGCAGGCTCACAAGGTGTGAGGTCTTATGACTTCATTGTGTAACGACACTATCCATACAAAATATGCAAATTAGTATAAATAGTTTTAATATTTCACTACTTGAGTAGAGTGTGTGTATATATATGTATAGAGAGAGAGAGGCTTTTTTTGAAGGATAATGATTTTTAAAGGATGACAAAGGCTCACTTTAAAAGATGTGCCTGAGGAAGGTATTCTCTGCTCAGTCATTGTGGACTTGAAGCATCCTTTGTTAGCACTTTTCTTCAGTGCTCGTTGTCCATCTCAAACCCTTTCCATTCTCCTGCATCTCAGCTGCTGTCAGATGCTGTGCTGGAGTTGAAAGGCTTTCCATTTAGGATGAATTGAATTCTCCCTTTAGATTTGGGGTGAAACAGCAGATACGCTTTGTTTACCAGTCTCCTTGTGGAACTCCACATGTATGTGTGTTTCCCTTTGAGCAAAAATAACTCGGATTGCATAATTGTTCTCTGCTTTACTCTGAAAGTAACTGAGAGACTGTCGTTCTGTGTGTGTACCTCTGTCCCTTTAGATTTGGGGTGAAACAGCAGATACGCTTTGTTTACCAGTCTCCTTGTGGAACTCCACATGTATGTGTGTTTCCCTTTGAGCAAAAATAACTCGGATTGCATAATTGTTCTCTGCTTTACTCTGAAAGTAACTGAGAGACTGTCGTTCTGTGTGTGTACCTCTGATGGAGGTAGAGTGTTGGAGGCAAAGCGGACTACTAGGAAAGGGGGACCAGAGGCATAAAAGCCAGTAGAACAGTTGGGATGCTTGATGGAGGTAGAGTGTTGGAGGCAAAGCGGGCTACTAGGAAAGGGTACCAGAGGCAGAAAAGCCAGGAGAGCAGTTGGGATGCGTGTGTGCTTCTGTAGTCTCGTGAAAACATATGTTTGGTACAGAAGATAACTGCATTGCTTTTGGGGCTTCTCAAAGCTCAGGTGCTCAATGGATAATTTCCTTGTACGTGGGAGAACATGAGGAGAAGGAATGATGTGCTGTACCCACACAAGAGAGTAATGGGGTCTGCAGGCCCCATTACTGCACTTTCAAATTAATTTGAACTTTTGATAGATTTAAAAGGGCCTGCAGACCCCATCTCCTGTAACATGTCACCTGGCAAGGCCCTGGGAGCATCCCCCTCCTGGGGGTTTGGCTGTGAGGGCTGGGGGAGGTGGAGCAGCCAGGAGTGACCCCCCATCACATCGTATTTCTGGGAAAGGCTCCCAGCAGTGCTGTGTGAGGCTGGCCAGCACCAACCTGGAAGAACCTTAGGAGCCACTTTTGGTGCAGCCTGTCCCCTACCTGGCTAATCTGCAGCAGGACCCCCCACCCACAGATGAGCCAAGATCCTGTCCCCAGGGAGGTGCCCAGTGTCCAGGTCTGGGTCTGCCCCTGTGCCCTAGCTGGCCTGCTTCTGGCTGGGGAGCTGGGATAAGCCCTGCCCTGCCACCTCCTCGGTGCCTCCCAGCCCACAGTGACCCCAGTGGCACCCAGGCAGCAGGTAGAGCTACCCTTTGGGTGACCATCTCAAATGGATGTGCTTCTCAGAGTAGAGACAAATCAAAGATGGGAGAGATTTGAGACAGGGGATGGTGGTGGTGTTTTTTCAAGCAAGCGGCTTTCCTCCTTTCCACTCCTCCTATCCCTCCCCCTCTCTCCAAAGAAGAAGAAATAGCTTAGTTGGCAAAAAAGGGATGAGACAAAGGACCGTAGGAAAAAAGACAGTGGAAGGAATGTTTTAATTGAGAAGGAGATGGTGGTAGTGGGGGAGAAGAGCTAAGAAACAGATGTGGCTGGCTTTACTTCAAGCAAGTTTTATGCATTCAAAATTCTTGGCCACTAGCTAAAATGATGCTGGTTAATTACCTTTAAATAGACTAGTAGTGAGTTGGAATGGAGAAATACAACCCTAACTCTCTTCTTCCTAAACAGCTCAAATTGTTTTCCGTCTGTGTAGGGAAGAAACTGCCAGTGTCTTGAGATTTCAGATCATTTATTGATGTAACTTTTTTAAATTATGAAGCAATTTCAGATACATTGAATCTGCTTTAAGCACGCGAGTCTTACAGAAGTAAGCAGAAGTTATATGCAGATTTCTCAAATTCTAATATTTACTTATTTTTCCCCGCCTGCAGACATAGGGCTGGGCAGTGACTCTGTATGCGCACGTCCCTCATCGCATCGGATAAAATCTTTTGATTCTCTGGGATCCCAGTCTTTACACAGTAGAACTTCAAAACTTTTTCAGGGACAATATCGGAGTTTGGTAAGTTCTAGGAGAAATAAAACATGATGTGGTGTGATTTATATTTTTTGTTCTTTGACAGGAGTTCATCGGAGTTTGGTAAGTTCTAGGAGAAATAAGACATGATGTGGTGTGATTTTATATTTTTTGTTCTTTGACAGGAGTTATTAAGTAGACAATAGTGTAGCAAAGTGACTGTTTCCTCTGTTTCACCTCTGTATTTCAAGTCTGTATTCAAGTCTATTTCGGCAGCTTTTCTTATGATACTCTGAAATGCATACCACTTTCTGTGACCTTCTGGTTATTTTTTTCCTCACTTAACATTCCATGTTGTCTGCATATGCAGTATCTTCCTGGACTTGCTTTTTCAAAGGCAACAATCCCATTTTCTCCATGTCCGTGAGTTTAGGGATGGTGACCAAAGGCTATTAAAACCTCAGCAAAGGTGGTAGTTTTAATATTGGCAGTATCAGTAGTTTTCTGTTGTGTTTCAAGGTGAATCCTTCAGCCAGCCCTCAGGTAACTGAGTGGTGTGGGCAGTTGTTTTACAGTGCAGCTGAAATCAGGATGGGGTACTGTGACAAAAGGTGCTTTTAGTGACTATAAGACTTGCAAGGAGGGTTCAGAACCTTACTGTAAACTGCTTTTTCCATGCTTGGAGGAGGCTGTTTTGAACTATGTGATGATTGCTATGTGAAACTTTAAACACAGCTCTCTGCTTAGGCTTTCTTAGGTGTGGTTTGATGTGTTTTCTCTGGTAGCAGAGCCCTTGCAAGTTCTTGCCCCAGGCCACTAATTCCAGCTCCCCCTCTGCTGTTCACCACCCACTCAGTTTTGCTGATGCAACTGTTTGTGGGACTAGCTGTTGGCTGGATTACTGAAATAATCGGAGTTTTAAGTATTTCTGTCACTGAGCAGCTCTGCAGGAAATTACAAAGGGGCAGAGAAGTACAAGAAGGAGGGACAGAGAGCTAGTGACCAAACCTGGGAAATTCTTAGTTAGGTTTTGCTGTTGTAGATAATCAGTTTGGAGGTGTTCTCACTAGATTCTACTCAGATTCCTCTACTGGAGAGCCATCCTGGCAGAGTAAAGGGACTGTAGTTGATGTCAGTGTGCAATGTTGGTGCTTATTTTGTAGCTTTTTGCCATTTACTTAGGCAAAACTTTTTGTCCGCTCTGCTCAACAAGAGACAAGCACACAGTGTACAAACAGAGGACTAAGGCGGAGGCACTTGTTTGAAAATGTGCCTGTCTAATTGTCAAACATTGTGACTTGCATTATCTTGGCACTCTCTGTATGTTTTCAAAGTTGCACTTGCCCTCATTTTCCTACAGTTTCTCAGCCACTAAAAGTCTGATTGTTAAATTGAGTTGTGATACAATAACAGGTATTAAGCTGACATGTTATATGATCCTAGTGACATCACATAGTACATCTTTTAATCATCTCAACTATGTAGACAACATGTAGGTGAAATTCTGCTGCCTGGATAGCTGACTGGGATTGCTTACACAGTCATTTTCTTACCAAATTACTTATTCAGTAATAAAGGTATTGATCCTTACTTATGATAGAGACAGACATGATTTAAAATGCTGTTCTCTCGGTTTTAGTGCAATGGATTGTATTTGGATTAATTAAAGCTGTCTGATTATTTTGCTTTTTTGGCATAAAAGTTTGTCCTAATTAGCATGATCTGTTACAGGGGAAAAAAAAACAAAACAGTTTTAACTTGCAAACTCTTTATTTATATCCAGAATTAAATTAAACTTAACTCAGTTCTGCCCTCTTCCCAGCCTGGAAAGTTTTAGGGGAAAAAACCTCTCTAGTGTAAAGCTATTGTTTCTTTGTAGTTGCCAAAGGCAGATTTAATTTATACTACATATAGAAAATAGAATTTGATTTTTGGGGGAGTAAGAATTATTCTCTTTTTAGCTATCTTACCCACTTCTGATTTGAAGGGGCTGTAATAAGACAATATACTCCCTGGACTTATACAGATCCATAGTTTAAAAATTACAGAAATACTGGAAATGGCAAATCATCCCTTACAAATGCTTCAAGTAGAAATGAGTGAGGAGTGTTGTGTGTGGAGGAGAGGCTATTTCCCTTTTATGGATATTTCTGTTTTCTTCATAGAATAACTGTTTAAATCTCTAACATGATCTTTTTTGTTGTTTGTATTCTCACTTACTAGGACATGACAGATAACAGCAACCATCAGGTGGTGGTGAGAGCAAAATTTAATTTTCAACAGACAAATGAAGATGAACTTTCTTTTTCAAAAGGAGATATTATTCATGTTACAAGAGTGGAAGAAGGAGGCTGGTGGGAAGGAACTCTAAATGGCAAAACAGGGTGGTTTCCAAGTAACTACGTGCGAGAAATAAAATCAAACGGTGAGTTTTGAAGGAGAGCATATTTGCACAAATTCTGGCTTTGGGTAGAGGTTGATAGTTGGTTGATTCATTAAAAATTGTTCTGCTTTTTTGTTTAAGCTTGACTGTATTTATTGGATTTCATTCACAGTGAGCATTAATGCTCAGGAACTCATACTCCCCCACCCCAGTTTGCTACACAGCTCCAGGACTTTGGAATTAACAGTAAGCAGGCAGAAAACTCACCCGTTCTGTTTGCTTGTCTGTCTGTCTGTCACAGTTGGGCTGCTCTGACTTCCTTCATCTGAATTCCTACAATGCAGGATTTTAGCTCTCATGCTAACATACTTTGAATTGGTGCTTTGGGTTTAAATGGTATGAGATTTCCTGGAAGTGTCTTCAAAAACAGCAAAACCAAAACACACACAGGCACCCCCAAAGCAACAACAAACTACGCTAAAAAAATCTCTAAACATGTTCCGCTACCTAGAATTGGAGATTTCTCCTGCATTTGTTTGCTCCTACCAGAATCTACTAAAAGTTCGAGACAGGTTTTGAAAGATAATGTATTTGTGATTTTTCTTTTTATTGTTCATGTGCCTTTCACTTTTTTTTTATATAGACTTCACTCTTCTACTGAAGTTTTATTTTGAACTTCATGCAGTGAAAGTGCCTTCTGTAAATGTCATCTTCATTAATGAATATCAGAACTAGCATTGCTGCTTAATCCACCAAGACCTTGATGTGGGTGACATCATCTTTTTGTTTGTGTGTGTTTGTCTCTTTATTGTCTTTGCTTGCTTTCAGAGCTTGGGGATGAACCTGGTGGGATAAAACTACCCAGGGATGTTCTGAGATGCTTTACCACTCTTTCCCTTCTCACAGCTCCAATCGAAACACACATCTTTTGGGTCATGCTAAAACCACGGGCACGAATTTTTTGGTTTTAGGCAGCCACATGGATACATGATGACAGACTGAAGTTTTGAGGGTAGAACTCTATTTTTAAGCTTATTAATTCCTCCATTTGCGCATCCTCTTACTTTCTTCCTTGATTTACTATCTACAGTCCATTTTTGCAGAATGCTAGATCTTGTATTTAACTTCGTTGTAATATTCAGTGAGATGCTCTTAGGCATAGTCACTATTTAAGACTTAGCTTTAATGTTCTTCGGAGATCTCTCAGATGCAGATTATCCTGGAAAAAATTCCTGAAGCCTGTTTTTTTTTGTCTGTAGTGTTGTAGCAGTCTCTTTCAGCCATGATTCTATGATGACTGTCTTGTCTCATCATTACTCATTCAAAACATTACTGCAGAAGTCTGATTTCATCAGTTTTGATCTCTTCCAACTCCTGAGACTAGAACCTGGTTCAGCAGTCAAGAGCCAGAGTGGAAGTAGCTTTTAACCATGAACATACAAGAACCAAAAGTTGCCAGCAACTGAAATTAAAGTGGTTCTTGTTTTTCACCCAGCTTCACTTGGGTGAAGTAAATCCTCTTTCCTCTCCTAAATAGGAAAGCCAGCAAGCTGTGGGGCCATGGGTAGTACCAAGTGCAGTTTAAGTCTTGCCAGCCCTTGCAATCCTGTCTTGATTCCTGGAGGCTGAGTGGCTTCCAGTTCTCCTGGGTTTAAATGTCACTCACCATCAGAAAAGCTTTCTGCTGAGCTCTTCTTTTCCCTTCACTGCTTCCAGTTCTCCTGGGTTTAAATGTCACTTCTCACCATCAGAAAAGTTTTCTGCCGAGCTATTCTTTTCCCTTCACCGTATAGGTGAGTTGCCTGGGTTACAAGGGCTTGCTCCTTCTGGCTTCTGCAAGACATCTTGCATTCTTGGAGCACGCTCTCATCCATGCTTCTCTCTTTCATAGGTGAGTTGCCTGGGTTACAAGGGCTTTCTCCATCTGGCTTCTGCAAGACATCCAAGAAGGAGCACGCTCTCATATGCTCAGTTGCTTCTGCGGAAGGGAATATGTGCCCATGCTTTTCTCTTCCTCAGGAAATTGAGTTCATTGCTTTGTTTCCTGTGCATTTACTATTACAAACTTTGAATGACTCTCTAGCTTTCTCTGTTCTTCTCCTTTTTAAAGACAATTACTATGGTCTTTTACAGTACTTTGTGGAATTTCACTTCTCTCTGTGTTTTCAAACATGGATGTAGCTAAGTTGGTACTTCATTGGTACATCAGCAGTGCAGGCACTGTTTAATTTATCAAAAATACTAGTTTTAACCTGCTTTTTGCCTTGGTTAGGTGTATTTCACTTCTCTCTGTGTTTTCAAACATGGATGTAGCTAAGTTCTCTTTATTGCTCTCTGTGTTTTCAAACATGGATGTAGCTAAGTTGGTACTTCATTGGTACATCAGCAGTGCAGGCACTGTTTAATTTATCAAAATACTAGTTTTAACCTGCTTTTTGGTGTTTGAATTGTCTGAAGCTGGCCTTTTAATAATGAGGATGGAGGGGTGGCAGAAGGAAGCATGATGTATTAAGAAGTTCTTGATATCTTTTAATAACTCTTCTTCCCTATTGAGTTGCAAATCAACTTTTTCTTTTGATGTATATATGTTATAGAATATTCTGTTTTCTCTGTTCTTCTCCTTTTTAAAGACAATTACTATGGTCTTTTACAGTACTTTGTGGAATTTCACTTCTCTCTGTGTTTTCAAACATGGATGTAGCTAAGTTGGTACTTCATTGGTACATCAGCAGTGCAGGCACTGTTTAATTTATCAAAATACTAGTTTTAACCTGCTTTTTGGTGTTTGAATTGTCTGAAGCTGGCCTTTTAATAATGAGGATGGACAGGTGGCAGAAGGAAGCATGATGTATTAAGAAGTTCTTGATATCTTTTAATAACTCTTCTTCCCTATTGAGTTGCAAATCAACTTTTTCTTTTGATGTATATATGTTATAGAATATTCTGTTGCTACTACCCTGTGTCCATGTTAGTTTTATTTCAACTGGTGACCTTAATTTTGCTGCTTTTTGTGTGTTTAAGGTCACTGTAGTATGTGTGATATTTGATAGTGTCAGTTTGCATCTACTTTTCCTGTCCTTCCTTTGAGATGCCCCTAATTTTTAAAAGACTTGTTGTTCTTGTGAGTCTTTTCTTCTTAGATTGTCACTAGTGGGAGTCCTTTTTTTAACCCATGTTTCTAAGTTTACTGACTACTACTTACTTGAAATTCATTATTCTCATTGCTGTGCTCTTTTTTCTCTTTTCTTTGTTTCTGTGAAATTTGTTATGAACATTTCTATTCTCAGCTGATTTCTGTTTTGTGGGTATTGCTTGAGGTGCTAGAGAAGGCTATTCTATAATTCTCCTCCATTCTGTTACCACTGCATCCTGGGGTTGGACTTAGTTTATTCCACTGTCCTTGTTGAAACAGGAATGTAGTGCCATTCACCACAAAGCTCAAAAGTGACATAAATGGCTCTGATGGGTCTTCAAGAGAGGTTTCATCTAGGTTATACGTTTGGGTTGACAGTCTCTGTTGCGCTCCTCTGCCCCTGCTCGTCTTTGCTAGTCTTTATTAGACTGATTGACACTTCCTGTGTTGGTAGTTCTTTCACTGCCCATTTTTCTTGACTTAGTGGCAATTATATGTACACCACACTTTAAGATTTTTCTGAATTCAGAAATGTTTTAAGTGCATTCATGCTTTGAGCATGAAGTTAAAATACAAAAGAGCTTTTTTTTCCTCATTATTTTAAAACAAGTTAGTAGAACTTGCAAGCTCAAATTCAAAATGCATTTTCTGTCAATGTTATAATGAATTGATTAAAAAATTATCAGAATAGGATTGTTGAAATACTTGCTCTTGATTAAGGTCTCTCTATGAACAGAATGTTCATCCTGGACATCTAATTGTTTTTCAAAATGCTCTGTAAAATGTTCTGGCATTGACAGTATGACTCCACCTTTCTTCTCTCAAATGTGGCTGAAAATACTGCACCTGGTTAAAAATTCCATACAGGCAATATTGTGTGTTATCATTTTTGGTGATGGTTATTTGGAGAGCTCCTGAGAACTGGTGGGTTTGATTAAATAAATCCCTTCAGTCTGCTGGAGCCTGACTTCAACAAACGGGGTAACAGAAGAAAGGAAAGAAGTTCTCGTGCATGTGTGGTTTTGTTTTAAGTCTCACAAATTTCACAGACATTAGATGTTCAGATAAGTGGATTTTTTTTCTAAATTAAAATATCCTCTAATGTCAGATAACTGTGTTTGTGATCTTAGCTTGTATGTTGCTCTGAAGTTAGATATTGAAGAAAAGGAGGAAAGAGCTAGAAGGAGAAGCTGAAAAATATGGGATAATACAAGATTATGTTATAGCAGTAGTTCTCTTTCCTGAGAGGGAATTCCAAATAGTAGCTGTATGAAAAAGTTGCCATGAAGGAAATGAATGCTCAAACTTGGTGTGCTGCTTAGCAATGGGAACTGCCTTTATCTACATTGCTTTCTTGAAGATTTTAGAAGAAAAGTGAACTACGTTACATGTCTTGCATGAGCAGAGCATGCTGCATGATAAGTTATCTCAGAGCAGCTAAAACATCACAAGGCTGTGCCCGTTTACTACTTTGCAATGTGTTTGCTTAGCTGTGCTGGAAAGATTAGTGTTAGCACAGAAAGTTAATACATGGATGAGGCAAGCTGTGAATGGTTGTAGGAAAGGTGCTGAGGTTATCAAGGAAAGCACAGCGTTTAGTTTTCTTAGGGCAGACAATGACACTGTAAACTTTGGGGAAATAGATTTGGTTGAGATGGAAAATGGTTTTTATTTTGCTTTTGGGTGTGTGTTAGTCTTTCCTCCCTCGCCCCCCTGACCCAAGGGGAAAAGGAGGATCTGTTTGAAAGTGTGGTACTTGTGATCAAACTTATAAATAGAAGAAAAAAAATGCAGTAGTACTTTCTTTTTAGGTATGTGCCCACACCGTAAGGATCAAAA